GTGCGGTGTGTCCACATATAGTAGTTCTGCAACATTACTGCCGTTTGACATGGGGATCATAACCGGAAGGAATCTTTTGTTTACAATCAGATTAACCCATAACCAGGGGTACTTTAATCTGGGATTTCACAGTATACTAACCTCCTTTGACCACAGGTCTACCAGTTGTTGTTGTGGGTCTAATAGCAGCCATCAGACCTGTGACATATGATATGAGCAAGACATACTACAAGGACGTCACGTGTGGATCACTGAAACTTTCAGCGGAGATTATACGTGACAGGTTGGTATAACTCTACAACCTCCTCGATTAGGACTATTAACTCTTTCTTTTAACAGCTACGCCTTTTCTTTTAAGAGGCCCATGTGCTTGATTTATAATGTTTTGAATGTCTGTTTCTTTAATTTTTTCGGATTGTAAAGGTTTGGTTCACAAACTCCTCTATATCAATTTTTCTATTACTGTTTTTTCCTTTTTTTGCAACAAAACGGAACGTTCTTAGTCAATAAGTTAAATGCATTGATCCGCTTTCCTTTTCCTTAATTAGTCATATTGGAATATTGTAATCTTTTCAAGGTGCTGGCTTAATGACGGTGAATGGCTGTATAAAGGACCAATCTTGGCAATTCTCGTGGTAAGCTCAAATTTCTTTCCCAAATCAACTTTGAAGCCATTGCTTGAATGTCTTTTGAAAAGTTCAGCTTTTTTCTTCGACAATTGATTATTTATCACCGGGGTGGGACAGGGGTGGAGAATTTTAGGAGATCTCATAACTTTCGGGGGTTACGGAAAGAACTAAGTCGTCGCTAACAGAAGAGGAATCATGAGAATATTACATCGCCAGGGGGTCAGGTAAATTTATCATTACACAAACAAAATCCTCCGGACCTCCCCCCCCCCCCCCCCCCCCTTCCTTACCCCACCCCGGGCGATAAATAATGACCATGAAGACTTTTATGTCTGTTTCTTTTGAGTTTTCGTTTAGCTCTTTTGATAATTTCCTTTGATCTGCTGCGCCGTTTCGACTTAAGTGGCTGGGTTTTGTTTTTAAGACTCTCAATCCAAAAGTATTCTAACATCGAGCTTTTTCTGTTCTTCAAACGACCAACCAGAATTTTTTTTCAAAGTCAAACATTTTTCAATTTTTCCTTTTCAGGTCAATCTTGTGATATTTGTAATTCTGCTGAGAGTGATCTTCACCAAGATATCGAAAAAATATCAGACTGATAATGTAGAGAAGACCAGGTAAGTTTCTTCTTTTGTTTTCTCGTTCCTGTTTCCTTTTTTTTTTTTTCAATTTGCTAACGATCGAAAAAAAAGTCAGATTTGTATTGTATATGTGATTTTTTTAATTAACACTGCCTTTTAACCAGATGCATTTAACCAAGGTATTCGCGAAGGACCTATAGAAAGTGGCAAATATGTTTTTTCCCAAGTGCGCATAGTGCCCATAGTAGGAAATGGTGTTTAGAAGTATTTGGGATTAACAAATGGACAAGTGTGTAGCGCCTGATTGGTTAATGTGCTGGACTATGGATCTGGAGGTCTGGTTTCGAAACCTGACCGTGTCATTTTTTTTTTGCTCCTGGGACAGACACTGAAGTCTTGCGGAGCCTCTCTCCTTTCATGAACTTCAGAAAAAGTTGACAAATTGCAGGGGGGGCTAACCTGCAATGGACTGTCCAGTTGAAAAAGCAATGCTCTCCT